AGTGTGTGCAGGGAGTGACTCTCAGCTACCACCACACACCTGTGACCCTGCTGCCCTGGACTCATCCCTCTGTTTTTAAACAGCCGTGGAGGCCACACGGAACAGAACCGACTCTAAAGTTCTTCAGCTGCAGACGCCCACGTTTCACTGAAACCCCATGGATGAATGTAATGAGATATTTTACTAACAGAAACATGTAAAATCTATGTACTTTATATAAAAATAGACTTTTCAGCTCCTATCCTGCAGAATGTGTAAAAGGTCTCTCTGCTCTGGTTCTGGTTCTGTTCAGGTGGACCTGAACAGCCACGAGGAACAGCTCACCTGTGCTGCAGGTACGCTGCCTTTACTTCCATATAAGGAGCGGAGCGCAGTCCAACCTGAACAGGTAAAACTCGTCAGGTGGAGATTGTTCGAATGCACCACGACTCGGGTCTGAACCGGATTTGGCTTTATATGGACCGAACCGTTCGGGTTCAGCTGTGGCACAGAACCTGAACGTCTCTGCCTGAGTTTGTTCATCACTTTATTCTAAACTCTTGACTTTCAAAACAAATGATTTATCTAGTCCGTCCTGTTTGGAGTCAAACGTCAGGCTCAAGGTTCTGGTGCCTTCAGGTTCCAAAGGTTTATCTGTGGAAACACAAAGTGGATCAGAACCAGGGACCCCAACTTCCTGTCTGATCAGCTTCACTTCAGTCCATTTAAGGGCAGGTGGGAAAACGCTCCAGGCTGATGCAGAAAGGGGCGGAGCCACATCTGTACAGGTGTGACCCAGGACAGGCCCCACCCAGTAATCCCCCAGGTTTGGTTCTGGAAGCTGAAAATGTCCAAAAGTGGAGTTTTCTTAGCTTTAAAAGGGAAACAGATTTATAGTTTTTTAAACATTATTCAACATTTTTGTGTTTGTCGGCAGAAGTGCTGAGTCATCAGATTTAAAACAGGAAGAAGAGAGAAGTTCTGCTTTTAGAACAGAACTTGGTTCTCTTGGTTCTGACCAGGTGGTTCTGAGTGAATCAAAAAATGCTCCGAGCCGCTGAAACATGTTCGAAGAGTTTTATGAAAAGACCGAGATAAATAAAAGTTAAAAGATTAATCAAGTTTATTAAAAAATAACTTTTAATAACATCAATCAAACAATAATAAAACAAGACAAATCTATCTATCTATCTATCTATCTATCTATCTATCTATCTATCT